CCCCACTTCCCTGTCCTGAGCCACAGAACTCTGTCCCCACTAGCACCCTGTCCCCAGCTGCAGAAACCTATCCCCACTGGCACTCTGTCCCCTGCTGCAGAAACCTGTCCTCTGCCCTCCCAGCATCCTGTTCCCTCTCCTCTGCCCCCAGCCGCAGAACTCTGTCCCCACAAAATGTATAATTATAAATGCTTCATTTTAGATTTAAATAGCATGAATAAAAACCAGACCATTTATTTCATAACTATAAACACGTGATTTTAATTGTATGTATCTCATAATTTAAAATAAACTGTTTATCAGAGTGTGGAAGTAAGGGCTGGGGATAGCAAGTGATGGACAGGAGGAGAATAGAGAGGGCGGGGCTTCAAGGAAGGGGCGGGGCTTCAAGGAAGGGGCGGGGCGGTAGATCTTCGCCTGTTCTGAGATTTAAAAAGTGATCTTGCGTGTAAAAAGGTTGCAGACCACTGATCTAACCGTTAGATGAGCCATTGACAAGTTAAGGTATGTCGGGGTATTCAAGAGTAATGGTTTAGGGCCAGATGATAGAAACAACTGGTGGATGGATAACAGATGATTAACAGACCTCTTAGAGATGGTTTATGTGTAACCCCTTGGAGCAGTGATCCCCAACCTTTTGGGGCTGCCAGGCTGGGTGGAGGCATCACCGTGCATGTGCCGGGCACCCGGGGCGCAAGAATGGCTCGGGCTGGCCCTGGTCACTAGGCGGGCGCCATGGCACCCGTGGGCACCTGTGACAGGGCATTCGCCCTGCACTGGCCCTTTAAGGGCAAACCTCAGGCTGGAGCAGGGCCTGGGAGTTTAGCCCCAGGTGAGGCTGCATTAGTTGATTAGGGCCCAGCTGGGAGCTATATAAGAGGATGGGCTGCTACTCCCGGGGAGAGCAGTGAGAGCCTGGCTGCTGGGGGAGTAGGAGGCTCCTTGGAGCTAGGGCAGGGTAGGGCTGGGGAGGCAAGGCAAGACAAGACAGGGTTAGGGGAGCTCTGGCCAAGCAAACCCCCAGACTGCAGGGCCTGAAGAACAGCCCGCTGGAGAAACAACAACTCCCGGAAGGGGGGCTCAGAGACTGACGTGGGCACTGCCGGAGGGCAGTGTCCTGAAGAGAACGCCGTGGCCTGGAGGAAAGAGGGGAAACGCCACCTGAGGGAAGGTACCCTGCCAGCAGAAGGAGCTAATTCCTAGGACAGACAGCAGGGGGTGCTATGGTGGTAAGTGAACCCCCTCATAGCACCACATTGGAGATCACTGCCTTGGAGGAATACCAAGAGAAGAGCAACGTGCATGCACCCACACTTTTTGCATGCCCACATAGGTTTTAATTTTCTGATCCATGATTCATCTTCTCCTAGGGTACCAACAAATGAAAACGCAACACAAAAATAAAGGAAAATTCTGTTGCTTTACTACAGAGTAAAGAACCCTTAGGAACAGTCTTGTTCGTTAAAACCACATCAGTAACTCATCCACAGAAACCAGTTGATATAATACTGCACTAGAAGGGGGAAAGATTGCAACTAGTTTCAGTCATAACCACAGTACTTGATAAACCCTCTTCACTTAAAATGTCCCTATACATATGTAGCGCCCCCTCTCCACCTGGTTACCTTCTTTAAGGCCAATCTGCTTACGGGTATTGATGGGTAGGTCTGGGTTCTTCTGGATCCTGCCACCCACTCAGCTTTATTTTTTCTGATGGATTTATTTGGCGGTGCCTCCACCCCCCCACTCCTTCCTGGCAGGGTCACCAGGGCAGCTTGGGAGGAAAATTCTAACCCAGGGTAATCCCCACGTATCTGCCAGATAGTTGGAGACTCCCAGAAAATAATACAAACACATACACTATAATAAACCCAATTATATTAAACAGGAAACAAATATAACATAACAGGGTAAAACACTATTTTTAGGGTCAATGGTGCCCAGCAACTGTAAGATTAGTGTCCCGTTGGTATGTGTACTTTGTTGGGGCCCTTGATGACTTATGACCACAAATGTCTTCTCTGCAGCGGTTTAGCAGTAGGGCTGACTGGGTCCAGTACAGCCCAAAGGACTCACAAATGGGGGAAGGTGGTAAATCCCTCCATAGGTTTAATATGCAGCATGTTATAAAATCCTCAAACAAATTCCCTGACTTACTAACTAAAAGATGGAGCACTCACACACTCCATGAATGAATGAGCCTCAGGTTCAGAGATGACTCAGTCACTGCAGAGGAGCTGGTCTCTTCTGGAAGAGATCCTCTTTAGGCAGGAATCAGGTTGCTATGGTCCCCGAATTTCCCCTCACCACAATGGGGTGCAAGGCTCAAGCCACACAACTAAACCAAAATTCAAACGGTAATCTCCTACCCCAGCATTCAGACCCACACAGCAGGCAGCAGCCCTGGACTAGCAGATAGAGCAGAGCTGACCATGCGGTGACTGGTCTCACCCAGGGAGCTGAAGAGCCAACTCAGCCTGGCTGGGGAAGCCTCCAGCAAACTCCACAAACTGGGAATCAACAGTGGAGACATAAAACCCAGCTGAGGGATCCTGCCTTCTGGTCACTAGAGGCTAGTTCTCAGGGGGAAACCCTGCATGCAGGCCTGGGGCTTACTAGCTCCCACACAGCCAGCCCTCCCCTTGACCTGTCTGGCTCCAGACTCCTCCAACAATGGCTCCTCCTTCCCCTCCTGAACTCCCTGGGAGGGGCATCTCACTCCCTATGGGTTGTCAGGCAGACTCTGACCCTGGTAGGAGGGGGAGCGAAGGCAAACTCAGCGTGCCTCTCCCTGAGCTGCCAGCAGACAGAGCCCCGGGAATCTAAGTAATCTCCTTGGGGGTTACACATACAACACATCAAACAGATAATGCTGGGTGTTTCATACAACTTTTATTTGAAAAATACTTACAATAAAGATAGGGACAAATGAGTACTTCAATCAAACACCTTTTCCTCAAGGAGTCCTTGATCATTAGGTAGCATTTGGAAAGCACAAAGGATATACAGCAGAATGTTGGTGTTATGGATCTCTCAGGAATGGAGTTTGTCTATCACTGAAATGTTCTGTAACTCTGAAGAACAGATTATGAACTTCAGACATGTTAGCAGGGGTTGGTGCTTCAGCTGACATGGGGTGGGATCAGGATTCCAGGCAGGGAAGAGGAAGCAGGGCTTCTGATTCTCAAGGCGCCAGGGCAACAGGTGAGGGGCTCAGGGCTTCTGCCTCACTGGAGCACCATGGGGGGGGGGGGGAGGGAGAGGAAGAGTGCTGTGGTTGGGGAAGAGAGAACCAGGACTCAGAGCTCTCTATGGTTCTGCTCCCTGTTTCAGTGAAAAGGGACCCACACCATGACTCAGAGTTTTAGCTACCTAGAGAGCACAGGAGCTGAAACTGGTGCTCCACTTTTAGCTAAAGCACTGAGCTCCTGCACCATCACCCCATGGGGCTGAAACATGGAACTCCATTATCATCAGTGTACTTATTCTTAATTTACATTGGTGTGAAATCAGAAACAGACCCCATGAATCCCTGGGCTCAGTTTCTGTGTTCAAGCAGGTGTCTTAGCCATGCTCTCTCACTCCTGGGGTAGTTGATGAAGTGTGCATAGGTTGTAATGTATACAGACAAAGGCACCTTCCAGATACGTAGAATCCTCATGTGATCAGATATACTGGATTGACAGGAAATACCTCTGAGAAAGAAAAATTAAGAGCAGTGGGCATTGGAATATTCCAGAATAAGAAACACAGTTAGTGAGAGGTACAAAATAACTGAAATCTCAGGTCGCTTGTTTGGCTCAGCATTCAATTAAAAGGATCTACATAATAGTTACATTACTATAAGTGGGTAATAATTATGACGCTTAGTACAGGAAGCAGGTGAATTATTAGCCACAACAGTATAGGAGTTCATGAGTTAAGTAAAGTGATGGTAAGATATTGTCAGTCAAAATATGAAAGCTGCCAGTTCTAGAGAGGGGCAAATGAATGTCTTGAAAGACTAAGATGAGGACTTTTCAACAAACCCCATGCATGTTAGATGTGTCTGATGATGATAAAAATAAAAAGGCAAATGAAAAACTGTACCTTTTAGGAGGAAAAATTTAAAAACCACTGGCCAATTGGATGAAATGATCAGATACATTTTAAGGGAGCCACTGATTGTGTCATATTTGGAAGAAAATATGTCAATCAATACATTGTTCAAGCTTGTTATCTTTGATTCAGTTACTAATTTGGCAGATAACAGGAAGCCAGTGGATATTGTATATTTGGATTTCAGTGTGTCCATCAGTTTATTATCACATTATAAACTTGTAAGTAAACTGGAAAAGTGCCAATTCATAAATTACTATTGCCAGGAAAACAAACTGGTTCTAAAATAGAGAAATCATCAAAGAGCCAATCCTCTGTCCCTTATTCTTGCTGAGCAGTACTTACAATTGTAATCCCATTAAAGTCAGGGGAACTATTTGCATAAGTACCACTCACCTTGATAAAGGGGTGCAGAATTTAGTCCCAAGATAAGACTCACAGTATGAAACAGTATGTAATCTTGATTAAAAACATAGAGAAAAGTGTAAATGTTCTTTAAAAGGACACATGCAAATATATGTCTGTGTCCCTCCAAATTCTATGTTTTATAAAAATCAAACCATTACTGAGAAAGATTAATGTAAGTTTACATGCAGTCTTTCTTTTGATTTTTCTATTGCAGGACCTTAATTATTATTTCTACAATGCCCAGAAACATTCCAGGAAACGCACAAAGCAGACAATTTTGGGAGGGTCAGGAACTCTCATAGTTTGTTGTACCCTTCAAATCTGAAATAAACAGAAAATGCCATTATTGTATGTATTCCTCCCCAAAATAAACAGTACAGTGTAACATGTGCTTCATTGGTAAATATTTCTTTTCCCTTTGTTTGTTTTTCAGAGTGGAAACAGGATTCTGTGTTCCATCATTCTGAACCATCACCAAGGTCCATCAATAATAAACTATGACGATGAGAATGGGAAGACATGTATGCATGTTGCTGCTGCTGGTGGTTATAGTGACATTATCAGTGAGCTGGCTAGAGTCCCAGAGTGCAATCTGCAGGCCCTTGATGTGGATGACAGGTACACATGGAAATGTACTGAAAGTGCTGGAAACCCCCTTCTCTAAGTCCCATTGTATTAACCTGAACCTAAGAATCTCTGTTTAATAATCATGTTTCTGAGAAGCAAGTGAGCTTAGCAGCTCTGGAAATCAGACCATGACATTTATACCAACTGCTGACTCATGGAAATGTTTTTTAACTCTATATTTCGGGAAGGAAAAGATGGAGGTTATCCGAAAGGCTTGTTACTATGTGATTCACTAAAATTAAGTATTCCTTCCAAAATACCAGAACAAGAACTTACAACTTTGGAGTGAAGCCTTGGCCCCAAGGAAGTCAATGATTAAAACTCCAACTGACTTTAGTGGGTGCATTCACCCTTAGTATGCTAAGATGTTAGAGACTGCTGAGAACATGCTGAGAACGTCAACTCCCATTCTCAAAGGAAGCACTGTTGTGTTGTAAACGCAGAAGATTCCTCTTCTCTATTGTTTAAGGTCCAGATCCTATATTCATTGAAGTCATTGGGAATTTTGGCATTGAGTTCAGTAAGAGTAGAATCCGAGGGCTGTCAGTAACAGCTCTCAGATTTTGTCCAATTATGAGTCTATCCTATTTCCCATGGAATAAATTATCAGAGTTCTAACTAGCTTCAGTGACAGTAGGATTGTTCTTTTAGGTAATTAAATATATACCCATTGAATCCTTTATGCAAAAGTCTTATAAAACTAAAGAGATTAAACCAACAGGGTTTTATAGATTTTACCCTAAACATCTTCAAAATATAAATAGGAAAAGATTTTTATATTAATTTCTCTTACATTTTCCTATAACAGATACCATATTGGAGACTGGACAGAACCTTATAAACCCTCATTAGCTTTCTTTTAAACTCTGTTCCTTGTTACTCTTATCTGAAATCAGTAGGGTTGCACCATATTCACACACTTCCTCTTTTATTCACCTATCTTCATTCACTGTCTTTCTTATCTGGCATATTCTGCACCTCAGTGGTCCCCAACGTGGTGCCTGCGGGCGCCATGGCGCCCGCCGGACCATTTTTGTGCACCCGCATGGCACATGGACACTGCCGGCTTCTGGGCATGCGGCGTATGGGCGTCCTTGCCCCTGGGCACGCGGCACAGGAGTGGCGCCGGCCCCAGGCATGCAGTGCATGGGCTGTTCCGGCTCCGGGCGCGTGGCGTATGGGTGGCCCCGCCCCTGGGTGCACGGTGCAGGACCGGCGCCGGCCCCGGGAGCGGCATATGGGTGGCGCTGGCAACGGGCACGTGGCGTATGGGTGGTTCCACCCCCGGGCACGTGCGCGGCCCAGCCCCCAGACGCCCGGGAGCCCCGAAAGGTTGGGGACCACTGCTGTACCTTGTAGCTTGTTTCAATTTCAAAAATATAACCAGTGTTTTTTTATGTAATGTTACAACTTTGAGGCCAAATATTAGTTTCTAGACTGTAGGCCAAAATAATACTTCCTCCACTGTGACTGCTGAAGTTCCTGGTTACAGAAAATCAAGTAGGTTCCCCTACACAAAAACAGATTAAGACAGCTTCATTTAGAAAAAAAAGATCTGCCTTATTTGGGTTTTCTGCTGGTACTTGTCCACTATGTAATTAGTATCAACGCAGCAGTAGAAATTACTGCAGTCTAATGGATAAAGTAGCAGTTACAGAGTAACTCCACTCCTGCTCTGTAGCTTGAGAGAGAATCCTTTCCCCTACACCAGGGGTCTGCAACTTAGGGCTCTTGAGTCAAATATGGCTCAGTATAGAACCAGATATGGCTTTTGTCATTCCCAAAATACATGCAACTCTTTAAATTAAAATTAAAACTCTTTAGGCAGTTCTTCTCCTAGTTCAGAATAACCAGTGCTAGCAACCATAGAGTGGTAATGTAGGTCTACCACAGCCATTATTACCACCGCATCATCAAGAGTACTAACTGATGCACTCTGTGTACATGCTAACTAACTTAATGGATCAATAATTGGTTCCATTTTTTCTCTAGGACACCTCTGCACTGGGCTGCAGCAGCAGGGAAAGCTGACTGTGTGCAGACGCTGCTGCAGCTGGGAATAGAAAGTAGCCCTCGGGACATCAATGAAAACACTCCTCTGACATATGCAATGTATTGTGGACACACAGCATGTATCAAGCTGCTTTCTCAGGAGAACAGGTAAAGGAACAAGAAATCAAAGAACCTCTTGCTTATAACAGCAGGTCTCTTGCTAGAACAGAATATCACTGGGGGGAGGGGAAATGACATTTCCTTCTCTCTGCGTGCTGCAGAAGAGTGCAAGAGCTGCGCAACTGCTGAAATGAATCTGCAATTGCTATACAATGCTTTGTTCAAATTCTTCACTCTAAATAGCAATGGTAAAGTCACTGAATGACTTATCATTGTGGCTAGGTGATATATGCCCAACAAATGTAAAGTTCAGAACAAATCAAGTATGAACTTAGTTGTAAATCAATTCACCAATGTCTTCTTCACAAGATACGCTTTATGGGACAATTTTTGCCCTCACTGGTCTGCCATCTGTTGAAATCTATGGAGGTTAGTTATGTGTTCATGTAACTACAACAGAATTTGCCCTACTAAATACAATAGTAGAGTTCAGTAAACAGCGAATAACTATTTACCTGGTATATTTGCTCTTCTCAATGCCCCCAATTTAGATGTTCTGTTCTCCTTTCCTGCTAGAAAAACTCACTTATGAAAACTGAAAGCTGTTCTGCTTTTTTCTCAGACTTTTGTCACATTGCTTTATCTTGCCCCTTTCTTTCCAGTCAACAGTCAGTATTATTTCCTGTATTACAAAGGGTAAGGCATACTTAAAATTATCTTTGATGCTGCTGCAGACTCTACTTCTGAGCAGCCACTAGAAGTTGATTATTTAGGCAATAGCCTCCTTTAAAATCTGCTGAAACAAGACCACTTCACAGATCTTCCCAAACTTGTGTCCTACAGAACCATTACAAGTGGCATTGATTTAATGGTGGCTTTGTTTATTTTTTCTTGTCAATGCTAAACCATTTGGTATTACAAAAGCTCGTGATACCATCTACATGTTTTGTTAGTCTTTAAGGTACTGCTAGACCAGGGGTGGGCAATACTTTTTGGCCAGGGGCCTCTTCAGAATTTTTTGAAGTGGTCCTGGGCAGGGCCTAATCCAGAAGGGGCTAGGCTAAAATGCTTCTGGGCTTCCCCACCCCTAGACCATAATTGGTCTGGGAGAGGGGGAGCCACTTTGCCCCCCCTTCCAACTAGGAACCCATGCCCCTGGCAGGTCAGGAAGACGCTTCACATACTCCCCCGCCTCCAGGACCTGTTTGGCCTGGGGGCAGGGGAAGTGCAGGAAGCCTCCTCCCACCCTGCAAGCAGCGCGTGGCACTTTGAAGTGCTGCACACTCCTCGCAGTGCTGGGATAGGGCGAAGGAAGATTCACACAGCTCCCCCATCCCCAGGCCCTCATTAATCTGGGGGCGGGAGGAGTGTGCAAAGCCTCCTCCCGTCCTACCTCCACCCTGTGAGGAGCCCACAGCACTTCAAAGTGCCACGTGCTCCTCGCAGGGTGGGAGGAGGCTTCCCGTGTTCCCCCGCCCCCAGGCCCTGATTGGCCTCGGGGTGGGGGAACATGCCAATTCTCTTGCAGGTCATGGGTGCCTAGTGGGAAGCGGGGACAAAGGGGCTTCCCCACCCCCAGAGCAATCATGGTCTGGGGGGTGGAGG